AGATAAAAGAGGGAAGAAGCTATATAGAAAATTGAAAATGGTAATAAGATATGGAATGATATATAAAGTAAATATGATTTTTGAATTTGTGTCTGTGCGAAGAGTTTTAACCCGGAATCAAGCAGCTTTCAGAAAAGATGTTTTATGTTTTTTATGTTTTATGTTTTGTATGTTTGTGTATTGTTTTTGAAAGGCAATAAAATTCTAATTAGCAAGAAATATAATTTGGATAATAGAATGAAAAGGAGAATTTGGGATAAGATACGAAGTTGAACAGATAACGTAAATATATATATTACAATTTGGAACTATTTTGTATGTTCTATTGGTTTTTTTTAGAAAAGATCTTTTGTTATTATGCCTTGATTGTTTGTGTATTGTTTCATAAAACTAATAAAATTTGTTTTTTTTTTTTAAAAAGTATCTCTTCTTGTATATACCAACTTTAGTCAGCAGATGGCATCCCTGCTTTCTTTTTTCCTTTCCACTGTGAGTTAGGAGTCCAGAAAACAAAAGAAAAAGTAAAAGAAAGAACTTTCACTTAATGTAGCCAAAAAGAGGTTTGGAAAAAATAACTCAATAAAGTTGCTGGAGCTTGTTGCCTGGCTGCTTGTCCAGCCAGTGAGGTTCAAGGGCTTCCAGGCCAGTTACAAGGGGGAAGAGGGGGGACCCCACTATATTTATTATATTGTTCAGGGGAGACTCAGGAGCTCCACAAACACCATCCACTGTCAGCTTTAAAATTCAGCTGCCACATTTTTGTTAAGAGAGTTGGAGGAGTTGAAAAGTTCAAGGTTATTCTGTATGTCGTATTAAGAAATTCCAGTGGCAGTTAATTGGTTCTCATGATTTATGAATTGTAGAAGTGGGAGAAGAGAAGGGAGGAGAGAAGGTGGATTCTGTGTAACGCACGAAAATAATTTCACTTGGGAAATTGCGTTTGACATGCCAGATCTGTTTCTAAATATATCAATTGGAGAGAAATGTCTCGGAGTGATTGATATCATGGATACTTTCTGGATGCCTTACATCCACTCCCATAGGCAATACTGTCATAAATAACCAAGTTTATTTAATAGTTTTCTATGTTATCCATTACCTGTTCGTATATTTGCACATACATTCAAATATATATTAGTACACAGCCTTGCAGCATAATGTCATTCCCATGAGAGTTTCAAAGGAAATCTAACCGCAAATACTTCTCTCAGTTCAGATAGGTAAGAAGCACAAATACATTTTTAGCTGGAAATTAACACATTTGTATTATTTCTTGCCTAGGCAGCAGAACAAGGACGGCCTCCAGAGCATACCAGTAAATTCTATGCCAAGGGTGCTCTCCAGTATCTAGTTCCAATTCTGACACAAACATTGACGAAACAGGTAGGTAATGTATATGTCTGCACTGTTCTCCAACATGCAGGTAGTCCTTGGGATCAGCAACTGTTGCTAAGCGATGCAGTTGTTAAGCGAGACACGATGTACAACAATAGACTTATGATTTCACTTCTGCCATGGTTGTTAAACAAGACATCATGTGACTATGGCTTAAGATTTCACTGCTGGCTTCTCCATTGACTGGTTGTTGGAAGCTGGCTGTGAAGCACGCAAATGGTGATCACATCACTGCAAGGCACTGCAATGGTTGTAAACACCAGGTGGAGAGTGCCCGAATCTCAATCAGGTGACAGCAGGAAAGCTACAACAGTTGTAGGAGATTGACTTTGTTGTAAAGTTATTTTCTCAGCATTGTCATAACTTTGATAACTAAACAGGGAAGTCATTAAGCGAGGACTAATCTGTAGTTTTAGTGTCTGCAGTTTTCACCAGGTTGGTAATCTCCAGCTATATTAAAATTCATCTAGTGTATTTTATTCTTTGGTCTGGTCTTCCAGCCAGGTAATTGAAATCGAATTAACTTGAAGGCATCAGGTTGGAGAGGACTGGCATTATTGTGAAAAAGTTGAGAACAAATTTAAAATGACCTAGTCTGCAGAAAGAAACATATGTTCTATTTTGGGGGGTGGGTTGGGGGTTGGGTTAGTTTAACCTATAACTTTCTTATACACAAAGATTCTGAAATATCTATGGTAGTTCTATGACTCAGAGATTGCATTCACTCCTAAATTGGCAATGCATAACTCTTACTCAAGGCCATGTAGTATTCCAAAATGATTTCATGCTGTCTATTGTCCAATAGGAGACAGGTACTTGAAGAAATACTCTTCCATGAGCAGAGCTAGTAGACATCTGCTTCCCTTTGAAATCAGTCTCTACAAATTAAAAAGCATTATTTTGACAACCTGAGGTTGTACCAGTTTGATACTACTGTGGCGATCTTGGCTGCACTTAAGACTCAACTGTTGATTTTAAAAATACAATTCTGTTAATCTTGCACCAAATTATATCCACCTCTGTTGCATAAAGTTTGTTTGTCACTTTGCTTTTAAAGGTACCATTCATTCTGTTATCTATTGGTAATTAAAATTTCTTTATGCAGATCACTGCTTTATTACTGAGTTTTTGACAACTATTGGTATAGTGTGCAAAATCTGACAACTTTCCCTAGTTCAGAACCCTAGTTCAAGTGTATGGTTAAATTGTTATGAGATTGTCAAATATTATGAAAAGATAGCGTTCCCACCTGAAACCTAATCAGATTTATTATAAAATCAGATTTTAGCCATTTCAAATATAATAAATCTTGAATACCTGTCAAAATCTTATCTAAGTCAGTCAGTTTATCATAAAAACCTTCTGTTTTAGAATCTTTGTCATACCTTGAATGTATTTGCGCATATGAAAACCAATTCATCTTTCTACCTTGTTCCTCTAATTTTTGTATAGATTTAAGTTCACCCTTTTCATTCAACATTTCACCATATCTAACTGTTTGTTCCTTTTTAGATATTATAGGATAAGAAAATGCTTCAATAGTCGATAGCCAGACTGGAATTTTCAAATAACATTGCCTTTTAGTCTTCTCCCAGTTTAACCACAGAGACTCCCGTATATAATGTCTTCTAAAATATCCCTGTGTTTTAGTTCCATTATACCATAGGAAAGCATGCCACCCCAACAACAGATCATGTCCTTCTAATGTCAACAATCTAGTATTTCTTTTTCTTTTTTTAAACAAGTTTTATTAATTTCAAAAACAAACAAATCATCATCAACCATTACATATTTGAACCTTTTTCCATTATAAATTTTACAAGTCAGATAAAACCTTATCTTATACAATACAATTCTATTTTAAACCATTTCTAAATGAACATAAAAACATCTCTTGTCCTCTATTTCTTTCTGACTTGATTATCGTCATTTTCTTTCTATGCTTCTAAAAGGTTTCACCAATACTTCTCAAAAACATAAACAGACACAAACAAACATATAAAAAATCTTTTAGTAAAGTAACTTGGCCCCCGGTACCTCTCTTTATATGGGCTTTAATTATATTCATGCTCATCTTACAGATCATTACCTATTTTATTTACCATTCTGTATCTTCTATATATACTTCTCCACACATTTCACTCTTCATAATTCTATCTTATTCAATCCATCTTAATTTAAATCATTATATTTGTATCTTTTGCCCATCCTTTATTATCACTCTATCTCATTCCTTATACTGAAAAAAAAAAAGAATTTCTCCTGAAATCTCTAATCAGAGTATGATGCCTTTCTATCCTCTCCCTAAATATTAGATTAACATTTAAAATGACACCTAATATCCAATCTGATTCTGCTTGGTACATTCTATCAATTAATTTTTACTTTTAATAACAATAAAAACAGAGTAATAAATCAGAAATGTTTAAATACATAGTATCCTCCTAAATACGTAGTTAAATAATAAATCTAAATAATAAATCTTATAACATTCTAATTGCCTTTCCCTTCAATATTTTATTACATTTTAAAAATCAATCATTATTAAACATTTCAACATTTTAACTTCTTATTAACTCTTAAACCATTCTAATTTTCTATTTCTAATACAAATATTACAATACCGTCTTATGTACCTTGCAAAATCTTTTTTAAGAAAATTTATACTTTACCCTTTATCCCTGAAAAAGATTCCTCTTTTCCCATCCAATTTTAAAACTTTGTGGCTTTTCTCCGCCTTTCCCCTTTCTTTCTTCCCCCACCTGATCTTCCTACCCCTCCTTCTTCTAACCTCTGTCTTGCTGGCATCCCTTCTCTGTTGTATTCCCTTTTTCTCTTGTTTGCTATCATTATATTTATTTTGCATCCTATTTTTCTCTTTCTTAAATGTTTTTTTAGATCTTAAGTCCTTCATTTTCCTCGCTTTCTTCCTTCCTTCTTCCTTAGGTAAATTTTGGGATTCATTAAAGATGGTGTCTTCGTCTTCTTCTTGTTGTAATTCCATCTGTCGCATTGTCTGTTCATAGTTAACCAGCGCCATTTCTAAAAATAGAAAAGCTTTTTCCATACCATCTTTACAGGCTGCTTTTGTTTGCTCATATTCATCCCTCAGTTCCTCAAGGGAGAAAGCCATTATAAATCTTTTCTTTTCTTTTTTCCCTCTTTCTTCTTACTCCAACCAAAATATTCCAAAAGAAAAGTAAGACAATCCCAAAGTCCACAATCCTCAATCAATCCAAGCCAAGCCAAAATTCCCACTTTCTCTTCCAGGGGTAGTATCAGACAAAGGAAAAAAGAAAATCCAAATCTGTGTTTTGAAGCCTTATTAAAAAAAAAATTCTGTCTCCAAATCCTTAAGGCATCTCCTCCAACAAAATCCAGCCAGATAAATATATTTTTTGTCCTCTCCCTTCCGACTTATCCCATAAAGCTAGTTTTACCTGAAAAAAAAACAGGTTTCTCAATATCTGTTTGTTAATTCCGTCGGGAGGGAGAGTAAACTTTCCTTTCAGCACCTCAGAATTGCCGCTTACTTTCTCTTATGGAAAGAATCATCCAAAAAGCCATCACTTCCAGGAATTAAATTAAATATATCTCAGAGTCCTGGATCGACCAAGAAAACTTTCAGTTTTAAAAACTTTCTCCTCTTCCTCCTGCGCATACTTGCCCAGCTGCCGGCTTCTTTGTGGCGGCCATTACAGACCGCCGCTACGCCGTCTTGGTAAAAGGAGGTTCTGCCGGCCAGGGAGGGGGTCTGCAATACCCCCAAACCCTTTCCCGGATCCCCCCTACCTTCAGCTGCCCCTGCAGGGCAGCCTTGCTCCGCACCCTTTTGGATCGGAGCCCCAAAAACGGCTAGCGCGGCAGGGATCGCGCAGCTTCGCGAATCCCTACCGCTCGCAAAGCCGACAAACCGGAAAACCAACAATCTAGTATTTCTTAATGTTATCCATTCCTTAACCCACCATCAAATTTGTAGCTTGGTAATACAACTCCCAATTAGGCAAACCAAATCCTCCTCTTATTCTAGCATCTTGCAAAAGTTTTAACTTTATTCTCGCTTTCTTACCTTGCCATATATATTTCAACACAATTTTATTTAAGTCTTCAAAGTAATCTTTTCCAAGCCTAATTGGAATTGTTTGAAACAAATATAAAATTCTGCGTAATATATTCATCTTGATTGTTGATATTCTCCCAATTAATGACAGTTGTAAATTTTCCCATTTCGCCAAATCTAGCGCTATCTGCTGCTTAAGTTTGATATAATTATTCTCTTTTAGTGTACTGCGTCTTGCTGTCAAGTGTATCCCCAAATATTTGATCTTATTCGTAACCTGGAGTTTCAATAGGTCTGCCAGTTCTTCCTTTTGTCTTGATAGCATATTCTTTGTCAAAATCTTTGTCTTATCTTTATTTATTTTCAAACCAGCCACCTTTCCATATGTCTCTATCTTTTCTGTCAATTTTGATGCTGTTTCTAGTGGGTCTTCTAGAATGAAAACCAGATCATCTGCCAATGCTTGCAACTTAAATTCTTCCTTTTTAATTTTCATCCCTTTTATATTCTTTTCGTCTCTAAAATTTCTGTTTAGCACTTCCAAGGTTAACACAAACAACAGAGGTGATAGTGGGCACCCTTGTCTTGTTCCTTTTCTTATATCAATAGAGTCTGTCAGTTCTCCCTCTATCATTACCTTTACCTTTGCTTATGATATATAGCTTCTATTGCTTGAATAAATTTTTTTGCAAAGCCCATGTGTTCCAGCTATAATAACATGAATCGCCAATTCACATTATCAAATGCCTTCTGTGCATCTAGAAATATCAAAGCCATTTGTTTTTCAGGATGTGCCTTGTAGTATTCGAAAGTGTCCAAGATTACTCTCATATTGTCTTTAATTTGTCTCTTTGGCAGAAATCCATTTTGATCAGAATGGATAAAATTATTTAAGTATTTTTTAAGTCTTTATGCCAATATCGAAGCA